GACGCCAATCTTTAACGAATTTTACACAAAAAATTCACCACAATCTTATTTGGTGCGTTAATAAGACATCTCCTTAGCGTCATGTTTCCATTAAAATGCCTCTGGCCGAATATCTGTTTCTCAGTGGCAACGTAGGTGTGTAGGAGACCTCAAACTGGTGACATATCGCAATAATAGACTGCATAACTCGGGTTTTACACCCGACCAAGTGTAAACTGCCATTTGGTCCATCTTGGAGGCAAATAACTTTTGGGGAGCGGGGTTGAGTGAAACTAAATGGCATTGTGAGGCCTACTCATGATTGCGGGAAAGTTTTATTATTGCTACCGCATCACTTTAGGCGAGCTAGGTTTTCGCTTTTTGTGAAATTTTTTACAGACTAGCCTCAAGTTTGCAAGATATCTACCTCGGGAAGACAGAAAAAAGACACAACTGATGAATCACGGTTTCCCATGAAACCGATTCGTGAATCCCTCTTATCCAATTTTTTATACGCAACGAGTTAGATGACATTTTTAGTGCTAATTGAAAAAAACAATTTGCTATATGTTTGTATTGACCAAAGTATTGTCAAAAAGTTAATTTGAAGATTATTAAAAATTTTGTCTTTATACCATAAATAGAGGAATAATCATCTTGTCTGAGTGAGTGTTGGCACACTCCGTGTGCAGGTCTTTTCATTGCTTGTTCTCATAGGATTCGACAGTCAGTCGTCATACCAAGCCGTCTGCTTGACGCTTCCGCAGGCGTCGGGCCCGTTTCCCGGTTCAGCCATTATTCTTAGTCTGCAAGAAAAAGGATCAGAGCTTTTCAGACACGTCTTTTGTAGCCCATCCACCGGAGACTCTTTTGGCTGAATCTGGCCCCCTTCAAGTCCCACTTTCACTAGCCTAAGCTCGTTCTCATCATGGACACACTGGAGCTTGGTAACTCGCTTCTGCTCAGCAGGTTTGCAATGAGGGATGACAAGGAACGAGAGATTCCGTTCAAAATGCATCTTCTCTTTCCTCTCGCACCACTTTCCTTGCATTCCTTTAACCCTATACACACCAAACGAACTTCAGGACAACCTTAGAGAATCATCCCTACAGAACGCCAGTAGCTCACTATGATCCACTTCTATCATTTCGATTTTGACGAATCCACATTTCTCATTTCGCCTGATCTTCGCAAATCTGCATTAGTTTTGCGCCCAATTAACAGGATCGGGTTCCTAAGGCGGGCCAAGATTGTGTGGCAGTGTAGTGTTGGGTTGACATCGTTTTTGCAACTTGATCAGAACTAAAGGGAAACTTTGTAGAACGTCCCTAGTCTTGCCTCATCTGTCCTCAAGCATTCATGATGCCTTCCAGCATTGGACCGTTGATTTGGTACATTCCCATACGTTTCCCCGGCATCGTAATCGATCTCGCCAGTGCGAAGCGCCATCTTTTCACTTTGATAACTTCTAACTCTGAGCTAGGAATATCGCTTCTAACTGACGATGTCCGCAACACGTCTAAGAATGTGCCAAGTCAGTGGTCCGAAGCTGGAAATTGTCATGAGTACTCGAGGACAGAGGAGGCAGGACTAAGTATTTTCCATAAGGTCTCCTTGCCGCCGGCCAAGTTGTGACTTTGGGGTCATCCTACCAACCTAACTACTTAAGCTTCTTTTGGCACCATCTTCCGTCTTGACACAGCCGAGAAAATATAAATAATACAATGTCATCTCATCAAGCGTCAAATAAAGTACTGAATCTTCCTTCGACCTGGCGAAGTGTTAAAACTATCCCAAATCGCCACAGGTAGGTGCGAATTTCAAGGCATATCAAGTTTGTGGGAAAGTCAATCATACATTTATTGACTAGCTTAAGCGAACTGGGTGACAACTCTTATTCAGGAATTACTGATAGATTCGGAACATACTCACATTAAAGACATGTTGAGATAAACCGAAATGGGCATTATTAAGTGGACAAAATGGTATTTTTAGTAAACAGTCCGGCCATTTTACAGTCGCCGGGCCACAACTGCCCTTGCCTGCTCTTTCGCAAAAACAATATCTTTATAAAAAGTATAGTTTCATCTGTTTGGATCTTTCACTGCGTACAACAAATTGGAAGTAACGAGTTGGTATTTTTTCAACTGGGACCTTAAGGTAATATCGCTTCGAAGCAAGTGTGATTGTCGTCTTGAGTCTGGCAGGCCCTGACGTACGGTCTGGTGGTCATCCACTATGAATCTATGCAGTGAAGTCTTATGCCTCTCCGTGACATGTCTTTAGCGGAGGAGAGAGAAAAATAATAGCTCCAAGGGAGACTTAAATTGGTTCCCTGTGAAGCCAGCATACAAATCTGTCTCATACGAAATGAAAGGTCCAATTGTACCGGTGAGAAAGGGTGATAACTTACTCCAGCATCCGGCAGCGAAGTTCCTTTAGTCTGGGCGCAAAGTCTTTTGTTGTCAAGTTGCCTTTTGTCCAGAGCACCTCGGCAACTGCAGCTCCTCTTGGCCTAAAAATAAAATGTAGGTCAATTTTTATGTTAAAATGAGTATATCCCGCTGGCCTCCTGCAACTTGTCCACCCTTTTTCGGACGCAACACTCCGTCCTGATCCACTCTCTCGCCCCCGCCTTGTTCAAGATTGTCGTCTCAACACCTCAAATGGCTCATATCCCTCCCACCCTACGCCATCTCCATACAGACAAGCCCCGTTCGGGC